TTCTCTAGGAACAGAAATATGTATTAATTCTAATTCTCTTCATTTCAGAGTTTCCCCTGAGGATCTGAAAGTGTTTTGAAGTGTTCACACCCACGTTTCCCTTGAGTTATGTGCAATGAAAAAAAAAGTAACATCTACATCTTTAAAAGAAAACTAGGCATGTTTTTATTGCAATTATTACTGATGCTAATAATACCCTGGTCTTGTAGCAGCATCTGTCACATGGTGGCCCAGAGTTGCAGCAGAACTTTAACGAAAACACCATTTTCTTAAAGGCTGTGTGTAATTATTATGCAGCTCCTTGGTTATGGGTATGGAAATGCAAGGTTTGCATGGAAGGAAATCAAGGAAGGTAGATGGTTACAGGCCCTGAAACAAATGAGAAAAAAGGAAAGAAGACCAGAACCTTCTGAAACCAGTGCTCACGCCTCCTACTTTGACAAGCATCTAGTCAAAGCAGACCCCATAGGCCTAGGATTAAATAATGACAGTTTACAATGATAAAAAAGAAGGCAATGCAAAGAAAAGTCGATATGCTACAATGCAGGTATTGATGAAGGAACTGGAAAGCTGGTTAATATTCATGGTGATACCTGTTTCTATTATCACCACCTAAATTCAGTGGCAATAATTGTGATTACTGGGTTCTAACTTTCATAGGAGGGTGCAGGTGGTCTTCATAAACTATTGTAAATTGTAGATAGTGAGTTCGCTTTGACTTTCATAGGAGGGAGCAGGTGGTCTTCATAAACTATTGTAAATTGTAGATAGTGAGTTCGCTTTTCGATTCCATGGATATAAGATGCCAGAAATAAAACACTATTCCTCTTTGAAGGTGGAGTTTTAAGAGGGATGAAAATGTAAAGCATGCCAAATAGTGACTTTAAGCAATTTATTAGCAGATTCACTCCCCTAGGACCTGTCTTCCAACAGTTGAAAGTAAACTATCTGCATGCTGGCTGGTAAAACACAGTGTGCAGGTTGTTCAGAACACATGAAATTGTACTTAAGCTACAAGCGAAGAAAGCAGGTACAGGGAGACCAAGCTGTTCGGTCTTGTGGAAAGTAAAAACAAAACAAAACAAAACAAAACAAAAGCAACAACAACAAAACAGTGACTGGTGATCTGGGATTTCTGATTTGTCCCTGAGAAGACAAAGCTGAAGTCAAGAATAAAACAAAAAACCAAGAGAACACAAATGTCCTCTGGCTAGTGACTCTGCTGAGAGAAAAGCAGAGAGACAAGTGATGCAAAGCAGGCCAACAGCAGGTGGCTTGCAATCCAGGGATATGCAGACCTGCCCCAAATGTCACTGCGAAGAGCTGACCGAAAAATCCTGGTCATTCGGGACCCTACAGAAGATAGCCATGTCATGAATGCATACGAAATAGGCTAGACTGATTCACAGATCGAATGAAACACAAGGCGGAGCTCCCACTGCTGTGAGCGGCCTCAGTGTCCTCCTCCTCAATTGGGACAAGTTTAGCTTGCAGAGAAAGAACATACTCTTGTGGGGGTGTGTACCTGAGTACAAGTGCCTGTAAAGGCCAAAAGGGGAAATCGGATCCTCTAGAGCTGGTTAGTATAGGGAGTTGTGAGCTGCCCAGTGTGGACGCTGGAAACTTAACGTGGATCCTTCGCAAGAGCAGCAGACAAGCAGTTCACCACTGTTAACCACTCATTCATCTCTCCAGCCCCTGTTGCTTACATTTAAAAAATTAAATGGCATCTTGTTGGCTTTAAGTTTCCTGGCTCAAGCAACCCTTCTACCTAAGCTTCTGAGTGCTGGACTCCAGTTATCTGACACTCATGCCCAGATTACCTAGTCATCTTTAGCCATCTGGCCTATTGGCTGGGTTTGGAGACATTTTATGCTCAGAGTGAATGCGACCTGCACTTTTCAGGGACTGAAATCACTTCCTAGACTTTTATTGAATAAGCAGTACTTGGAACTAGCCCAGAAAGAAGATACAATAAAGTCTAAAGACAAAAAGTTTTTCATTTTTTCTCAGTAGTAAGTTTCTTAAGACTAATGTGTTTTTTAAAGAAAAAAGTTAAGAGAAAGGCAGGCCAACTTTAAAAGTTATATATTTTTTTTTTCATTTTAATTCTTGTAGTGCTGGTAATTGAATCTAGGGTCTTGGGTTCAACTGTAGTCATGTGATCCACTACTGAAACACCCCCCCCCAGCTCATCCTCATTTAAACTTCAACAACTACCTCCTCCTCCTCTTCCTCCTCCTCCTTCCTTTCTTCTTCTCTTCCTCCTCTTGTTCTCTGTTCTTCCTCTTCTTCTTTCTTTTCTTCCTCTCCCTCTTTTAATTTTTGTGACAGATTCCCACTAACCTGTCTAGGCTATTTTTGAATTGTGTTCATTCAGCCTCAGCCTCCCACGTAGTAGAGGTTATAGGCCTGTGCCAGCATGCTTGGTGAGCCCCAGTTTAACAGAGAGATAACGTCAGCATACAAATGATCATATATTCTCAGTTACCTGTCCTGACCCACCTTCCCAAACACTGTATTCCCTAGGTACTTACTGAATTAAATATAATAAATTAGGCCATTTTTATCAGTTCTGAAGAGCTTTGGAACAGTCAGTCAGTGGAAGATCTAATCCTGTTGCTGCTGTTCTGTGTAGACTGAGCCCTGTATTGGACTCGTTTTTTTTTTTTTTTTTTTTTCAAGTTAGAGTCATTCCCAAGAGCAGGAAAGCCAAAACACATTCTGCAGAATTAAGAAAACACAGGGCGATCTAGTATCATACAGTGTGAGACCAAAACAGGAAAAATATCCCTTGCAGATCAATACAGATAAGGATAAGTTCCTGTTTGCTCTGTGCAGGTTAAAGTTTTAGTTTGCAGTTAAACAATAAGTTTCTATGTTGAGTCCTTGCAAGCTAAGATTTCTATTTGTAATTAATACTAAGTTCCTGTTTCTTAGATCTGATGTAAGCTGACAAACATGTTTTCAACCTACACTAAACTTGTGACACCCTTCACACTCACACTCCCCACCCTGTTTCTTCCCTTCCATTGTGTTTTTTCTAACAATGTATAACTATAAAGGCTGACTCTCTTGCCCCTGGGAACACCTTATCTCTCCTGTATAAAGGACATGAACAGGCCAGGAGGAGCTGCTCTCTCAAATCCTGACTTAGGGTGAGACAACCAGCTGGCCAGTCCCATGTACACCCAAAATATAGCTTACTTTAATCTGACAGTCATGGATTTGGTCCCTTCTATTCACGATCCTCAGATTTAATAACATTATGGTTTCTTTCTGACCATAAAGACCAGATAATTTTTTCTTGCTTTTTGCAAGAAGTAGAAATTTTTATTTCACAGAGCTGATGATGACATTTTTCACAATACTGGAAAGTATATGCTCAATTAAGAAATCGAGACCCCCTATTTCGACAAGATTATGCTCTTGAAGTGTGTGGAAGAGACTTCTCATTCTTTTATATGTGTTTACTCTCTTTAGTTTTTAGATGGGTGTAATGTCACCTAGAAAATAGGCTCTAGTGCCCAGCTTTCTTTGCCACAAAGTTTTGGGTAGATCAAACTTTGACAAGTGATGTCAGAAGAAATAACATGCAGCCAGCTTCTGAGACTTGCCCTTAAGCAAAAGGGACACCATCCTTTGTGACTTTCCCACCTCCTTGGCTAGAATTTAAAAACAAAACAAAACAAAACAAAACAAAAAAAACAAAGACATAAGCTCCCATAGCCATTTTGAATGTAGTTTTGATTTGAGAATGGTAGTCACAAAAGAGTCAAGGAGTGGTCAAGATCTCTAGGAAGCTCACATGCTGATCTCCTCTGATTCTCTCAAGAATTTTAGAATATGAAGAGGAATAGGCAGCCATGGTAGTTAAGCCATTGTCTTTTTGTTGTTTGTGTTGGTGATAGTAATGGTCATTGATGGTTCAGTGTGGTTCTCTATAAATGCCAGTTCTATGAGGCAAACCACCTAGATTACCAATTTCTTCACCCTAGTTCTTTTCAACTCTGAAGAGGAAGGGAAAAGTGTGCTCTTGGTGGAAAATAATTCAGTGTTTTCACTCAGCTAAAGTAAACAAAACCATTTGACCAACCAGGCAAAGGTGAAGTAAGGACTGAGATTGTCCAAATCCGTGAGGAAAATCCATTTCCATTCGTTCATCCTATTTCTCACTCTGATCTTTCTTTGTTCTTTTACTTCCCTTTTTTCTTTTATTCTTATATATCTCAAGTTCAAGCAAAGCATATTATGGATTCTTTGAATATTTCATTTTTTAAACATTTCGAATTTAGTAGGATTTATGCCCTTTGTATGAATTCAAGTTCAAAGAAAATGATTAATTCTCTGTGGCCACCATTTCCCCCTACATATCCCAGATTTTAAGCAGATTTTTCCACCTTGTAGAAGTGGCAATTTCTCTAAATTTTTTTAGGCAGTAAAGAGATGCTACTCACAAAAATGTGCATTTTTTCCACTTTGAGTGTTTTCCCCCCTTTTATAAATCAATAAGTACATTTTAAAAATGTTTAAACTGTAACTATCCCTTTCTGAGTGGTACACTATTTAGCCACAGAAGGAGTAATATTTTGCTATTGGTTTTGCTTTTGTTGTTGCTTTTAATTTGTTGTCTTATTTATAACAAATATGTAAACTTGACTTCCAGACACTTTAAAGTTTCTTTGACTCCAAAATGTTACAGGCCATTTGAGTGTTGAAGGAATATTTTTTTAAGTTCAGAAATTTAAGGTTTCTATGTCTTTAAGACAGGTGGGCATGTGTGAGCTCAAGGATGGTGCCAGAAGTTCAACAGTCACTGAAACCAGGGCGACACCAGAAGCCAGAGTCCTTTTGCTGATGTACATCAACTGATGTTGATGAACATTGGAGGCTAGGAAAGCAAAGTCTCTGGAGCACAGCAGTGGCACCTAGTGGCTGCTTCCAAAGACCCAAGTTTTGTATCATCATTGGACAGTAGTAGCTTTGCTCACAGCTTAGGGCTGGTTCATCACCATATTAATGCCTTGCTGGAGTTACTTCAATAGCTTATAAATGCCTGTCTTGTGCTTGAGTGTAACTGAGCTGCCTGTGACCGGTCCATAACACATCAGTTATTTGTATTTTTTCCTACTTTACTCAGCCATCCCTGTAAAGAAAGAAGAAGCTGTTTTGGTCTAAAATGTTAAGTCGGAACACCTGAATTCTAATCAACTGTGATTTTTCTCCAAGTTCCTTATTAAAGTGGCTCACAGTGGTAAGTATTTGTTTTAAAAACTTCTCACCCAGGATGTTTTGCATAATGAGACCATCTTGGGATCATCATTAAAAAAAATTAAGTGTAAAATAAAGGTCTGTTTAATCTTGGCAAAACTCTAATTTTCAGAGATGAAAAGCTCAATTTTGGTTTTTATTCATTACTCGATTTAGTGGTCATGATAGTTTCCCTCATCTTCACAACACACATTTTATTTGATTCTAATGGAGATGAATTTCTCTTATCAGGAGTGTGATGTTCATTGGATGAAGCAGACAGGCATCTCCTTGCCATGTCTTGTCAGTCTACTGAAAGAAAGCTACCCCCCTCTCACGTAGGTCTACGGGAATAGCAAAGTTTTTTTTGTTTGTTTGTTTGTTTTTTGTTTTCCTGAAGGAATAAGGAAATGAGTAGAACAAGGTGCTAAGCTGTTTTCTCAACAAGTGAACCAACCGTGTTCGAGGTTTGGAGAAGTGTGGAGATGTGTTTTTTGTTTCAGAAGACACCTCTTCTCCCTTCACACGGCTGGTGGAAAGGATCCTTGGGGAACACATGCCTTCAATTTTTCTCTGGTGTGTACTGTTTTATGACCAGGGCATTTTGTGTCTGAGAGTTCCCTAATCTTTTCATCCATCTGCTGCCTAACTTTCGCTGACCTTGAAACATGTTTGGAAGCTACAATAAATAAGTTGGTGGCATCCCAGCTTCCTGTGATACCACATAATGTAGCAGGAGGCCCCAAGGAAAGGGAAGTCATTCACTCAAAAGAAGTCATAGTCTTCTTTGGGCCATGATTGAAAAGGCTTGGTGCCAAGGGGTTCAGAAATAAGACTTAGGCTTGGTGTCATTCTTTCACTTCTGCCACAGTCCTGGGCTCCCACCCCCTCAGTTGCAGAATTGGACTTTGATGGCACCATCCTTCAGGTTCCAAGAGCTCCTTTTCATTTAGAATCTAGATTTGTTCTGTAGGCTAGAACTCAGTGAGTGTTAGTGTTTGCTGACCGAAAGGACATAACCTAGGGGACATAAACATAGAGGTATTAAGGTAGAGGTGATTGCATTAAATTCTGATCACTAGCAAATGGTTTATGCACAGAAAAAGGAAGAAGGGGGAACAGAGACACTCCACAAACATACAAAAATTTGCATCAATTTCAGTGGTTTATGGGTGTCTTAGAGATACATGAGCCATACTGGACCATCTCTGGAGCAAACAGTGAACAGACAGAAGCTTGACAGAGGGAAAACTTCATTGTCATGTGTATACAAAAGGAGCCAAATGTATTCCCACATGGGAAGTAATGGAGAGACAGAAAAACATGAATGTGAGACTTGCGCCTGCCTTACATTGTGAATGGACAGTTAACCAGCTATTTGTTAAAACCTTAGCAGTGAGAACCAACTCAGGTTTTCTGTATCCATTTGACCATGTCACAATGTTTGGTCAAAACCAGATGGGATTACCATTTGAATCAGCAGACTAACTCAGGCACAGTGCAGTTTATAATGTGGTATGTGTTGGGAGTCTATGGCATCATGGTGACTGATGGGAAGGGGGTCCCAAGGGAGGCTTCTTAAGTGTCAGACATGGTCTGTATTTTGGTTGAATCATTGGTTACCCAGTTGGTGCACTTCTCAAAATTAGTTACATTGTACCCTTAAAATCTCAGCATTTCACTACGTGTACATTTTGTTTAAATTTAAAAAGCCCCTAAATTATTTTATTTTTTCCCCAAGGTGGACCTTTTTTCCCTTAGAAAATTAGGTTTCCCACATAATTTTCTTGGTTATTGGATGGATGGGAGAATGAAAAATTGATGTAAGTCAACCATAAATATTTTCTTTACAGGTTTCTTTAGAGTTCCATAGGATTTGAATGTTCCCTTTGGATATCCTAAAAGTTCCTGGCTGCAGATTTATGGTTGTGATTTCTACAGCTGTGTGTTTGGGTCTGACATCAGTGTTGGGAGAGAAACAAAGAGCAGAAAATATAAACCTCAGAGTCAGCCAAGCCTCCTCCACAGGGGAAGGGCCTTCACTAATAATTTGTTTCCTATTGTACTCACAATACATATGAACACACATATATATATGCATCTCAGAATATTGCAAGAACAAGATATGCATGAATCTGGAAATTTAGATTGCCGTGATATTGTTGTGGGGTAGTCAGAAGTTGAGTTGTCTTTGTCCTGTGCTGTTTAAACAGTGACCCACGCTTAGTTTGAAAGTTGGATCCAGTTTTTGTGCAAGCTGCCACAGGTCTAACCTTGTCTGATGCCCATAGGCACTGTGTGTTTACACAAACCCAGTAGCCTAGCAGGGTTCAGTAGCCTGCACTTCCTCAGCAACACAGACAGTCCCCTTAGACTTGGAGATGATTTTCACAGATTTTTTTTTTTTTTCATTTGCATGCCTCAAGTTAAATACTGTAAAAAAATTTAAAAAACTTTTTTTTCCTTTTTTAAAATTTACAAGTGCTCATATAAGAAGAAGATGACTAAAAAATACCCACCCAAGCACCCAGAACGCATCTAGCAAACAACGCTAATGTTACACAGGCTGAGACCAAAGACCGCGCAGCTCCGTGTTCACTGGCCCGCAGGGGTTGCAGTCCTGCTGTCTGGGAGGAAGGTGACGCTGTAGGATCCCCAGTGCCAGAGGCCAGAGCTTCTTTGTTCCCTAACTCAAGTCCAGGAGCCGCGTTTCAGAGTCAATGTCATTACTTATTTCGACCTGAAAAAGAAAATACGAATTGCTTTAAAGAACTTCAGTGCTGATAAATGAAAAGCCTGTCCCTTTCTCCAGGCCTTTTGAAATGCAAAGCAGTGTAGGGTGGACCGGCTGCTGTCTGGCTCGC